CCGGCCTTTGAAGTAGGATGGCCAGCAGAGGGCTCTTTTGATCTAAGTCTCTGCCGAGCGGTATGGAAAAAGGTCACTGGGCACCCTAGCCATCCTGATCAGTTTCCATATATAAATATCTGGGTCCAAGCTTGTCAGGAGCCCCCGGCTTGGTTGCAACGTTGTTCCTTACGAACAGACTCTCGCCTTTTGGTTATGACCCCCAGTAAGCCTCAAGAGAAACGGGCTCAAGTTCCCAAGCCGGTGCTCTCGCAAGATCCTGACCCCTTGGATCTTGAAATAAGCCCTCCACCTTATGTGGGGCCGTCATCCTCATCAGATAAAGTCCACCCTAGATCTCGGAATCCTTTTCTTCCTCCTCTTTCAGAAGAAAAAGAATCCCCTGATTCTGTAACCTCCCCTTCCCACACGCGAACAGGAGCTGCTTATGGTCCCAGCAGGGCTCCCACTGAAGGGACTAATTCAGCTCCTCTTCTGCCTCTTAGGGAAATAGAACAGGGTCATTATGTCTATATCCCTTTCTCTACTAGTGACTTGTATAATTGGAAACATCAAAATCCCCCTTTTTTCAGAAAAACCCCAGGCTTTGATTTCCCTCCTAGAATCTGTTTTTAATACCCATGACCCAACCTGGGATAATTGCCAGCAACTTCTCCAAGCCCTCTTTACCTCTGAGGAGAGAGAGAGAATTCGAGGACAGGCCATAAAGTCGGTGTTGGGAGGATCAGAGGGCCCACTTGATGAAAATGGAGCCTACATTGTGCCTATAGGCCTCAAAGTTCGAGACAGGTAGAAAGAACAAATAGAACTTTAAAGGAAATTTTGACTAAATTATGCTTGGAGACTGAACTAGGTTGGGTAGAGCTTCTCCCCTTTGCCCTCCTCCGGGTAAGATGTACTCCCAAGCCTCCCCTCAATTTGTCCCCCTTCCAAATTATTTATGGGCAATCTCCCCCAATCATTCCATTAATAGATGTAGAGCTAAAGAAAAAGTTTTCCCACCTTCGGCTCCTTAAATCCTTAAAGGCAGTACATCAGCTTCAATCAGAATTACATGAGACATTACGAAGGAAAATGACTAGTCCAAATGAAAAACCGTTACAGCCTTTACCCTATAAGCCGGGAGATTTGGTTTTTATTCGCAGGTTTGATTCCAAAACCCTGGAACCCCGTTGGAAGGGACCGGTTCCTGTTGTCCTGTCAACTCCCTTGGCGATGAAAATGGCTGGACATTCTGCCTGGATACATCGTAACCATCTAAAGCCAGGACCCCCCACGGACATCAAAAAGGATAAATGGAAAATAACCAGCCAACCGGGCGACCCAAAGCTAAGATTGGAGCGAATTGGAAACGTTTCGCCCTCATGATGATATTTACCAGGATATTGACAGTGTTACCCTCAGGGGAGTTAGATCACACAAAAAATATATGGATTCAATTGGCAAACTCACTTAATCTATCTGAATTCTGTTTAAGTGTTGATGTAAATTTTCATTATGTATTAGGAAATTGTCTTATCCCGGTATGCACCCCTTTAGAGTCAATACGGCCTTATACTTTATTTAAAGATATTCCAGGAAAGAACCTTACTTATGTAGATAGTTATAATTGGGGACCTGTCACATGTTATAAGCCTAAAAATGCTGTCAAATTATATACATCTAAAGTGATCATGTCAAATAAGACTAAATGTGCTGTGTATGAAAATTGTACAACTAAATGTTTGAAGATCAAACGGTTAAAAGAAATGGCCTGCCGAATAGAACAAAAGATTGTATATGGCAACTGCCATGTTTCCCTGCCAATGGGATGGTTTTATACCTGTGAAGGAGAAACTTTCAACTACATTCCAGCCAATTTGACCAAAACCCGTTGCTGTTTAAATCGATTAACTATAGTATTACCAGATAGAACTGATTTGATTGTGCCTAACAGAGTTAAACGGTGGTCACCTTATACTGCACCAGGATGCGATGATGATGTGGGTCTGCTAACAGATGCAGAAGTACTAACCATGATAGGATCTCTGGTTGCCATGCCGTCTATAGGAGTACATGCTGAAAAAGCAGTACGAAAATTAGCTTGTAAAGTAGTAAAAGGATTAAATGCCACTTCATCAGCCTTGGCGCTGATCAACCAAGAATTACAAGAACAAAGGCAGGCAATCTTAGACAATAGAGCAACAATAGATTACCTGTTGCTCTTCCACCACCAAGGTTGTGAAAAGATAAAAAACATGTGTTGTTTCAATTTGACCGATAATAAAAAAAAAAAAAAAATCAAAGAGGAGATAGAACAATTAGAGGACCTGGCAAATAAAGTACACAACAAAGATGGTGGAGACCTGTTTAAATGATTAACCTCATGGCTGCCCAACCTACAATGGTTAAAACAATTATTCCTTGTCTTTATAGTCATATGTATTTGCTTATTAGTATCATGCTGTTGTATACAGTGGATGCCTATGTTTATGCGTAAGATTACTTAGGTTATAGAAAATCAGTGGGGAATGTGGGACTGTGTGATTCAAAATTCATTTATTCCCCTTGCCTCTGTTCTGTTTAGAGTTAGTGG